CCCCCCCCCCCCTCCACTCACCCGGACAGATTTCGAAATCTAGTTCGAGCCGTCGGATGTGCGTTAGGTGCGCAATCTAACCATCCTAGCACGCTATCATCCCTCTGGTATGTTATTCGTGTATAGCTCGTCGTGTCAGTTAGTCTATATAGAAAAATGGAGGAAAGAGGTGGAGAAAAGAGTGAATAAAAATTTGAATAAAAGCCATTTCTCAGGCGCATATATTTACTTCGACCTAGTCGATTCGGCGATGCCTTCACGCGTTTTATACGAAAAAGATTGAACAACATTAAGCAACAACTCCTTACGAACTCGATGCAACACGTTGCTTTGGTACGGACAGAGACAAGTTGCAAATGTTATGTATACATACCTACCTATCTATCTCTGCATTCTAAAAGACGAGTCACAATTTCTAATTCGTTTATCCAGATCCCCGTCATCTGCGCGACCCTTGTTCACGTTTAAACTACTCAATCGTACGTGCTTTATAGAATAGTGCTTGGATTTTGGATTTATTATGGCAAATCACTCTTACTCTGATTTCTACTTGAATTTCTGAATTTGCACTTGGGCCGCTGTGAAAGACTCCCTAGGGTCTCGGAGAGGATACTGGTATAGTGAAAAATAGAAAATTAAAAAAAATTCCCAAAATTATTCCCAGTACAGTATTTGTTGCATTTGCTTGTAAAAGGATTTTTGATTTTTTTAAATTTAATGAATTTTCGAAACAGTAATCAGGAGTACTAATAACGGTTGTAGAGGGTAGTCGTAAAGTAATTTATCTATGGTCGTTTAGAAATTACAGATTTTTTAATTAGAGTAGTTACTTCACGACCACCCTGTGCATTGTCTAGGATGACAATTTATAATTATTCTCGTTAACGATATGTTATGAAAATCGTCTTTAACCAAAAGCACAATTAATCGCTACGTACGCGTCGTACGTACCTATATCTTGATTACTTTTATCAATTTTAAAGAAATCGCCGTATCTCCTAGTTAGGAAGAATAAATCGTAAAAAAATTTAAACATTGAGAAACAACGAAACTTATAGCGATTTTTAACCCACTGGATCACAGTTTAAAGCCTTTATTACGTAAATGAAGATTCGAAAGATTCGCGTCTACATAATTTATATTCCTCGGCTTAAAGCGCATCAATCATAAAGTTTCCCTTGCGTCTAACTGCAGAGAGGTTACAGGATAAGTCAAGACTCATCGAATAAAGTATTCTCTCTGACGTATCTATGCCAAAGTATAAATTCGATCAGTATTGTTTTCGAATTGTCAAAAAAAAAAAAAAAACAAAGCGATCGAAACAAACAATTACTCGTGGTCGGTTAAGCGTCAAGCCCTGATTAATTTCCAAATTCCAAGAAACAAAGAAAAAACCATAATTATATAAACCATATATATGTTACGTAACAGGAAAATTACGATGCTACGCTCAAAGGTGAAAAACGTATCCGGGAATGTCGAACGGCGTGAATACAGCTCGCCGACGTGTTCTACGGATCCTCAAGGCGCACTAGTGAAACGTCTGTCGCTTCGCGTCGTCGACGATCATTCGAAGGTTGCCAGTGTTGAAGGTTGCCACGTGTTGACGTAACGTCCTGGACGAGTGACGAGTGACGTGCGGTCAGGAACGTACGAAATGACGGTAATGCCGTCGAGTTCCGATGTGGCGGACAAGGCAGTTTCCACGGAAGACGCGGCAAGCGGCGTCGAGGTGGTACGTCTCGAGGCCGTTCTGGCGGCTCTCGTGGAAACGAAGGTTGAGGCTATGAAGGCTTCGACGACAGCTCGACGTTCGGGCAGTGCACCACCGAGTCCACGACGACTTCGGCTTACATCTTCGTCGACGGCCTCTTCCTCCCAGAATCATCATCATCATCATCATTCTCATCATCATCATTCTCACCATCATCATCAGCATCGTCAACATGAACAGCTGCCCCACGACGAGCATCGTCAACACGAGAAAAGAAAACGGGAGGATCGTCGGCGACGCCACGATTCTGCCCCCTGCGGTGAATACATCGAGGATCCTACCGTGCATAATAATCATAAACAACGTTCGGGTAAGCAACCTGACGCTGCACTCTTTGATTTTCTTTTTATCCTTTTTTTTGTTAACAGGTTGAGTTATTTTCTTTTCACTACGGTATTATCGCGTGATACGAAAAATTTTATTTTTTGCTTCTTTTCAAACTGCTTTTATAGCTTTTTAATTTCGTAAAATGAAAAAGCTCTTTGTTAGATTAACATTAAACTATTACGATCGACTGTACTTCGTATGAGAATTTTCGTAATTGGTAAATTTATAATAGTGACTTTTCAATTGTCATAAACTCTTCTGTCACGTCTACCAGCGCCATCTGTGATCAGTTGCAGTCAGTGTGTTTCTATATGCCTATTGGTTTACCATCTATGTCAATTGTACACGGGGAATCGTGCTGGCGCGCTAAAGCGATTGTATAGAATTTACATGTGAATCTGTGAACTTGTTGATGCAGTCACGATATTTGGAAATTTTCAATTTGCTATATGGAAAGCCAGTTTTGTTCCCCGTTCGAGTTAATTGTCAATATTCGAAAAGCACGTTGTACGCAGCTTTCGATCTAAAAGTATATTTACCTTGTGCCGCTACGGAATTGCTTGGCATTTGAGTCTTCGGTTTTATTGAATCGGCTCGACGCAAAGATCTAAAGTCACGACGAGTTACAGACACTCGGTGGTCGGTAGAGAGACGTAATTTTTCATGGCCAATTTACCGAGACTCCATAATGTTTTATGGGAGGCTCGTAAAAAGTTTAGTCAGCGGACGACTAATCATCCTTGCTATAACTTGGCCCAGGGCCCCTGATCTTGCTTTCTCATCCCTTGATTTGTCAAACGTTATCAGTCCCCGTTATTATCATTGAGTTGTTATCAACTCGAGGAACAGTTGCGTTTCGCATCATCGCCAAGGTGTATAGCTGTGATGACGAAAGTTTCGTTATTTTTGGAAATAGGTAAAGGGCGACGGAGAGCTTCGGAGAATCCGCGGAGTCCCAGGAAGCGGCGTAGACACTCCAAGAGTCCCCAAGTGGGCCACAGAGTCGTTCAGGATTTTCATGGAGGTCTCGAGACTGGCCTGGATCTTTCGGGGATTGACGGGGATCAGGAACTAGCTCTGATAAACTTTGAGAGAGCCAGAGAGGGTTTGAGCGATTCCTGCGAATATCCGAAACTGCATCGGAGCGCCTGCTGCTTTTCACAAAGTGCAGCCCAGCTGTGAGTGACACTTTAGTGATAAATTAATAATTTTTTTGTAAATATAGTATACACTAATTGATAATTTGTATACTTCGTATAAGAGGTCGGTTACGAGGACTCCTATGCACAGCTTTGAGACTATTTTATTGTTTTGAGCATCGCTTTGAAAAATATTTTACGCCACGAATATTTCGAGATACATAAAGCGGCGTTCATAACAAATTTTACGAAATTTTTCCAATCCTACGCAAAGTTAAAATAACTTAAGACTCTAATCGTGAATTAATTTCTTTTGAAAAAATAATTTTAGTTTGCTGTTGTGGACTCCGCATAATGGGGACAGTGTCCTCGTAACTGACCGTTCAGTTGTTTATATATAGGTATATTTTCCTCAACACAATATACCTATCCCGTAAATAACTCATATGCACGCGGGAAATGTCATTAAAAAAATTTTTTTTAATTAACTTTATCTCGTATAGGGTTGAAAATATGTTTACCAGACACTTCACGCGAATAAACCGCCAGCACGTGAAAATCCTTGAAATTTAATTCCGTTCGGTTTTACTGCATCCAGTGATTTTCAGCAGAAGTATGTTCAATTAGCGCTAGTTAATTTGCTTGCATTTTAGAGTGACTACCAGTTTCACGGATACGCATATATTGTACTTGTTAGGACTGTATTTTGAGAAATTTCATGGTGCACAAAATATTGCTATTTATATCAAAATTGCGAAAGAGGCAGTTGCGATTAGCGTTAAAGTCAGTTTATAGAGATTAGAAGGATCCACATCAGTGTAATATCTTTAATGCGACTAAAAGACTCATTTCGGGTGCTACACAAGCAGAAGGTAAAATTTGAGAAAATTGGTTACGTTCCACCTGTCAAAGTAAGACACTAATGTCGTTCAGTCATACATGCATGATGATCGTAAAGTAACCTGCTTACTTAAAAATTCTATAACTTCTGAAAGGCTGTATATATTTCCTTTGTCAAGTCCAGGGCCTATCTGACTGCCCATTGATCAGTCCGAGACTACCTCTACGGGCTCTCGATTCTCATAATAAAATTTCTACTAACGTAGAGAAAGTTACTTTATGACCACTCTGAATAGAGTCCCAGAAGCTTCGCTGCAGTTGATAAGCATGATATATTTTTCCGTGGCAAATCTTATGTATTTAAACACTTTACTCGATTTATCTACAGTTTCTATCTGCTCGTAAAGCGCGCAATGTGAAGTGTCTTTTTTAAAATCCAATTTCGAAGCAATCTCGCGAACGCAAACATACTGCATTTGTACACATCGAGATAGAGAAAAAATAAAACAAGTCTCTAAGCAGCCCAACAGACAAGAAAATATTTCTACACATTGACATATTACGAATCCGCTGGCTACGCCAAGAACTGGACCCGATCCACATGAGCCACAGGTGCCAAAATAGATATTTTGTAGAAAGTAACTTTAGTTTGGCTTTCTACGTACGTAAAGATAATTAGTTTCATTGGTAGATTTTTTTGGAAATCAATACAACAAAACAATCTCTTACTTCGAATAATATAAATCAGCATTGACTTGTTTAGTATACTATATTTGAATTTCCTGCCATATTGAAACTATCAATGTCGTTAACGAATTCAGCACGACGAGCCATAGAAACAGACGACAAGTTCTAGATAATACTAAGAGGCTGCTTTGCCTACTAGACACCGCTGAATATTAGCCATACAGCTGCTATACTAGCATAAAGGATACGTGATAGACGGCAGAGTATTGATTTGCACGGCGGCATTGTTCGGGAGCTGACAAAGTTTCGCAACCGTTGAAAACGGGCTAACCCATTGTCGTGGCGGTGCTCTACCTAACCGACGGCTGGTAAAACAGTCACGATATTAACTCTAGGGAGCATTCAGAGAGGTCGGGACGCAAGCCGCTATAGTAGCGTCGTTTTCAAGTGGCATTAGGAGACTACGTATATATATATTTATTTACGTTCGGTCGGTTATGTGTACAGTCGATGCCACAAAGAAATCCTTGAGGCCGTCTCAACGTCATGGCGTCGAATTCCATCCCATTCGCCCCATACACGAAATAGCTTTTACCTTTGACTTCCCGACGTTTCTCTTCTTACCGTGCAGAAAGATCCATTACGACGAGGACGACTACGTCGCGCTCAATCTCGATGACGAGTTCGAAGAGGAGGAGAGTCTTCCCGCTCCTGAGAAAAGGGGCAACACTGTCGAGCGCTATCATCGACCACGGAGAAAGCGGAAACGACGAAGAGTCGAGCCCGAGAGTGTCGAGGAGGAGCTTGGCGATCCAGAGGAATTGCCTCCTAGAGCGCGATGGACTATTGTTGCCACTGCTTGTCTACTTCTCGCCATGTCACTTCTGCTCGTTGGCGTCACGCTGAGAATGGCGCCGATAATCGACGACATGGGTGCGTCTATCACTGATTATTATATTTCGCTGCTGACGCTGCATTATATTACGTTATATATCCCGCAATTGTCACGTGATTCTTCCTCGAAAACACAGAACTACCATAGACTCCGTAAAAGGACTGGAGAATCAGGTAAATTGCTTTCGGAGGATTTTTTTGAGACGATTACGTAATGTGTAACTCACGTTAACGATGATAATTCTGCTTGCACGTTGATGCTTATCTTAGATAAAGATCTTTTTGATAATTATCATTTGACGTAAACGCAAACTGCTCTTTTCATGTAAGTAGTCGTATCTAGTACAATCCTGGTATACGTGGTAAACATTTAATGGGAAGACCACTGAAAACTGTGTTATGCCATGAAATCTTTTCCCTATAGCGACTCAGACACTGCTCATAGTACCGGGTAATCTGGCGGTACTGTCCCGTTTCCGTCGGTCCCTCCTGCGGAGTGAGCTCACGGGCGGGAAATTCAAATGGATCAAGTTGGTCGGTTCTCGAACTGGAGCTACCTTGTGGTTGCATCACACGTCGGCCTCGTGAGGTCAACTCGCGAGCGGGAGGCGCACGACGAGAAGCCTCTTGTAACTTGAAGTCGGGCGATTCCGAATCCAAGGCGACCAGGTTTGGTCTCTCGCGCCAGAAGTCCCCGAGCAAGCTCAGGCAGCAGCGTGAAAATTCCGGCCCGTGAAATTCGCCAGTCAAGGCTGCCCGGTATGCCGGTACCAACCCAGCTTGCAGGGCCTCGTGCCCCGAAAGGTGCCAAGACAGCTTCCGGTCGCGGAGGTCCAGTCCGGTGCACTCCACCGCGCAATACCAACCTGGCTTTCAGGGTTCCGCACCCCAACTTCTCAGGGATCGGATTCCAGCCTCCGGATGGACCCTTCCCACCGTCCACTTGCCTGTCTCATCTCCCGCTCTCATCCACACGTCCCAAAAGACCCCGACCCCAGCCGGCCATCTTCTTGGCGATGCCATTGAGGAAGCCGACGGACTCTAGACCCACTGTACCTACCTGGTACTCAGTACTCACCCTGGAAACTCCATCCTCTTCGACCTCTGAGGTCCGGCACGTTCAAGAGTCCTGGGTCGAATCTTTTCTCTCGGTGATAATTCTGATTCGAACCTCAAGCTCCCGTCGGACAACTGACTACTCACTCATCCTAGCTCGCGAAGTCATCAATCATTTCATTCATCCAGAAAAATCGTAAATTGCAAAATGAAAAAAAAATATATTATTAGAATTCCCTCTGAAGCGTTACCTTCCACCTATTCTGCCTATTGACAACATCATGAGAATCAACGACGTAACTGACCATGATAGGATGATGTGATTGGACATGGTACTCATTTGTTAAGTCTGGACAATGAGAAAAATCATACGTCTTCAGCCCAAAAACCCAATATCAATACCTTTCCCAAATATCAACATTTCTCATTCCTTACTTTCTACCTTTTTTCCAAATTTATCCGAATAACACAGTTTGTATCTGCTGGTAAACTTTGAAGTCGAACAGAAAATTCATGTCGCAAAACTGACTCTAGCCCACTCCTCAAGTACTCCTCAACTTATCGAATAAAGTATCTAGTTATATATCGAAAGTGATTTATGTTCCTTGATTCCACATCTTAACTGGAACGAATGTCTATGCGATTATCGTCGGCTGTGGCGAATCACGGGTTTCTCTGTCATAATGTTAGAACCTGGAAGGGTTACAGGGTGCAAGGGATGCTTCAGCCAATTACGTGACACTATCCCAGGGAAGTACGCTCATGTCTAATGTATATATACGATACGTATATATATATATAGTATACACAGGTACCCACGTAGGCACTTGTGCTTTGGTTATACATACGTATATGTGTATATATAGACCTAGTGCGAGGTCGAGGGCGCTCCACGACTCTAAATTAAAGGCGCACATCTGTGAATCTCCAGTCACCCGCCAGATTTCCGTGGTAGAGCTACCCCGCGAAACGGAGTCACTCCAGATTGTGTCTTTTTGGGTTTTCAACCGCGCGAAGCTTGCTTCCTCTCGCGAAAACGAGACGCGAGTGATAATAATATTCGATTGGGAACTACGAGGTCATCGGACTTGCAATTGACTGCAAGCCGAATTTCCATGAGGCTACTACTGGCTTGTGGAAATTAATTACATGTGAATAGAACCGAGAAATTAATTTAACACGCGGGGGGGTTCGAGATTTTCGATTAATCGTTATTTAAAAATCGATTGGTTAGTGTATCGATATTAAAGTCAAGCTGCGAAATTAATTATTTTAATTATCATTAATTCTGCACTATTATTAATTGCGATTTTGGTTGTGGTCATTGAATTTTTTTTTTTTTTATTATCAACACGCCTGAGTTTCACAAATTTCAAAGGGTATGCAAATTAGTCTCTATAAATTTTTTCGAATTGACGGCTGTAGGAAACGGAAGGCTTCATGAAAATATGAGAAATGCAGAAACGAACTGGGTCTCCGATGAGCATTTTGGGGTTTGATACGGCTCTTTGATACTTGTGCTAAGAGGGCCATGATTTTGTTGTTTTGAGGTAAAAGTGTGGGAAGTGGAGAATAGTTGGTTAATCAGGGTAGGATAGATCGAGGTAGGTAAGGTAGTCGTGTTATTTACCCAGTGAATATCATTGATTTCATTTGCTTATGGAGAAAAGGATAATCGGAATAATTTTTGTGGGCAATTTATTGATCATTATGTAAATTCGTAATCTACGATCTTGATTGATTACCAGTATCTCGTATACTTACGTGTTTAAGAATTTTTTTTTTAATCTTCAGACTACAGTCATAGTTCCTGCTAAATATAGATTCACCGTACTTGTCCTGAATGACTTGGCACTTGTATAAACCACTTTGCATAATAACTTGGAACTACGGCGAAGAAACTTAAGACACTCCGTGAGAGGAAGCCACACTTTACACATCTATTAGTTATCGCTCCTCGGCGGAGATTCGTAAGAAATACTATTAGCGGCGTCAGATGTTTTACGAACACGAAGTATTCGGATAAGCAGAGTGAGTTACGAAAATATTCGACCACCCCAGTGACTTTTATTTCATTGCTCTTATTGTCAGTATTTGAAAAATCATGTAGAGTAATAGATTTTTGTAAATTTCGTTGGGTTATTCGTACGTGGGTAAAAGTTTGAAAAAATGTTGATTCATTTATCATTATTACTAACGAAAAATGATACGATTTCCGTTTAAAAAAAATATTCGAACAGTTGAGAAAAAAGTGTTACCTTAAATTTAATAAGTTTTAGCTGCATACGTGATAGAAAAGTCAATTTTTTATTTAATTTTTGAAAAATCAAATTTCGCAATTATTTACAATTTTTTTAAAAAATTATTAGCGTATAGGAAAATTCAATGGAAAATTCGAATAATTTCGTTACCGACTGTACGTCTGATAAATAGTTACTTTAGGGCTGGAGCTGTTATCAATTGTGAACGTCCCATGGTATTTTTTTAATAAAAAAAAAAACTTAAACACGTAATCGGCATTTTTAATCAAATTAACAGTAAAAATTTTCTAGATTACTTCTATTATGAAATTATATATGGCTTCAGTTACATAAAAAATATGAAATCCGTGAAAAAAAAACTTTTCATCGTCCCAAGTGAAATTCACACGATCCTGTTGTTACAACCGACATATTAGGTTCCGATTACACGGATCGTTAAGATTAATCTTAATTCGCAATAGAAACCTGCATTCATATCGAACAGACTTCGTTAACTCCCGAGTATAATACTATTAGGAAGTTTGACTTGATTACAGTTTGGTAACTACGTATCAACGTGCACAACGCCACAGTTCACCCATGAGATATTTCACAGTAATGTATACCGAGCGGGTAACCATGGTAACAAGCAAACATGTTTCTCCCATTTATGTAACTTTTGCCTAGCTGCTACGTGACAGGGTGAAATTTACCTAGTCGATATATAAATGTTACAAGATATATTTCCCGGTTAATATAATATTTTCAAACTATATTATACAGGTTGATTCAGCAATAATTACCGAATCAGTTTTCACTTGATCCGAGTCGTATCTTATACTTATTGGTCTATTGCCTCGATCACTGATCAGTCACAACTCACCATCCCTGAACCGAAGTGATAACCGAAACAGAAAGTTCCCTTGGATCAACCTGTATACAATCTTAGACCAGGTCCTCGACAAGTTCAAAATGGCTTCCCGTTATTCTTGAATTTCTCTCTGGCGTACCTATTTCTCGCGCAGACGTGTACTCCTTGGCAAATGCGCGAAACCCATTAGTACCTTGGCCTGTCTTCTCCAGGAAACGTAGAGCTCGGCTCGTACGTATTAAAGCTACGCAAGAGACTGCCGTAGCCACTTAAGCATTAATCGCGAGAGTGTACTCGTAAAATTTATAAGAGAGTTTATTTTAAAGCGCTAAGAAGTCTCAGGAGTAAACAGTACATACTTCACCCACTTTCCAGGCAGTTGAATGCATACTTTAGAGAGCAATAAAATATAGCGGTGCTGCTGCAACCTGTGCTGCAATCATATAGCGGTTGTTATGCCAAGTCAAATTCAATCCACTCGAGCGGGAAAATCTATACGCATCCACCTCTTTGTATCGATGCAAAATCAATGTACAGTTACAAGGTCGAAAGGCTCGTAAGCTTCGCTCCTGACTGATAGGCACTCGGCGCTGCATCGTTCGCCGGTTAACGCAATAACAAACAACTTTCGTACGTATTTCGAAAATCTTATTACCTGCCACTGCTTGTAAACCGGGTGACTATTGGATGCTGGGTTAATGGGAATATGTTAGACTAAAACAGGGTAGCACTGTATACAAGCCTAAATATATCTGTCAAGGTACACAAGAGTCCACGTGGGTTAGTCTTTGACGTTGTAATGACGACAGTGACGATGCACGTGGTAGTCACTAAACGGGTAATCCAGCAATGATCAATCGTATACTGCGTAC